CCGCCACCGTCCTTGAAGGGGCTGTCTCACCCCAGGCCCCTTCAGTCCTCAGTGCCTCCCGTGCAGTCTGTCAGGACACGCGGCTGGCCGCTGGGGCGCGGCGATGGCCCCTCCTGCTTTGGAGGACGAGGGCAGCGCTGACCCTGCTGGAGGGGGGTACAGGCGGGTGGAGTCCAGGGCATGGGGGGGCATGTGTGCGTGGCCACGTGGCTGCAGCGCTGTGCGTTGGCATGGAGGAGGACCTCGGGCCTCAGGTGTGCATGCCTCCTCTGAGCGCACAGGGCACCCACCAGTGGAGAGAGACAGGCCTGTGGCTCGGACGACGGCCAGGGAGCGGAGTGCTTTGCGGGCAGTCCTGAATGACTAGGGCTCGAGTCAGTGCGTTGTGAGAGCGAGCTGCCCGAGGACGGGTCTGCAGAGCCACGTAGCTTTGCGTTCCGTTTCCTCCCTCTTTGCAGTTGGTGTGCCTGGGCGAGTGGCAGTCAATCCCCTGGCGGCTGGAGAACCTGGAATGGCCCCCAAACCAGCCTCCCCTGTCGGAGGGCCAACCCAGGTATGGCCCCCACCCACACTGGCACCGTGTGGGGCCCGGGCCCCTCCTTCGCCCTAGGAAGTTGTTTTTCAGAAGCTGCTTGTTGGGGGGACGGTTGTGGTATTTAATGGTGGTGTCGACGTACACACTTTTGAAAGCACATCATCCCTCTGAATCCCAGAATTTGACTTTAAAAACACATTTCACAGCAAAGGAGATCGGGTTTCATGATTGCAGAAATCCTCTTCCACGTTTTATGTTCTCGTATCTGTCTCCCGAACGTTAGAAATCTCACCGTGTCTGGAGAAACGCTCTTCAGTCAGAGACGCACACCGAGGCACACAGACGCCTCCTTCCTGTGGCGGTCTGCCGTAGAAGGGGACGCGGGTGTCTCGGTCGCCATGTGCGAGGGACACCACGGGGCTTGGCGAGACCAGGCCTTGGGCCTCAGTGACCATTTTTAACACTGTTTCCCACGAAGGAGGAGAAGAGCAGACTTCTGAAAGAGCGACTGGACCAGATCTACTTTGTCAACGAGCGGCGCTGCTCACGAGCCCCCGTCTACGGCAGAGATTTGCTGCGGATTTGTTCCGTGGTCGGCCGAGAACAGACAGCTTGGCCCGGGGCTTCTGACAGCAGTCAGCGGAGGGGGGCCGGGCCAGCGAGCGCTTACACGTCTCCCTCAAATGGTCAAAAGGACCTGATCTTGACGCTGGCCCAACGGCAAGCCTGCCTGCAGGATGTCATCGACAGGTAGGCAGCCTGCGTGGGTCCCTGTGCTTCGCTCCCCTCCGCGGGCTCCCGCGGGCTTCCAAGCACCGCTTGTCATCCTGTCGTGGAGTCTGTTCCCTTCAGCCTCTCCGCGAGCTAGTCTCAGACGTCTGCCTTGAATCATTTTCTGGGTCTTCAGCTTTGGCACCGGCAGGTCTCTCCACCCTCCGGGAAGGCTGTGTGTCCTCAGGTGGCTTTCTTTTCCCCTGGGCACTGGGCCGGTCCCCGGGACAGCACTTGGGTGAACGTTGGCTGGCCTGGGTGCATTCTGGGTGCGTGGAACAGACCACTCTGTGGTTGATGAGTTTCTCCATGTTGTTCTTTTAAAGTAACGTTTTATGTAAAAACCACATGGGAAACTTCACATTGCACGATGAGAAACGTGTATTTAAGAGCTAAACTCAGAAACTAGCTTTAGGAGAGAAAACAAAAACGGAGATGCCACTGGGCCAGCCCCGCCCCCTGCCCAGCGTGCATCTTGGCTTCCTCTTTGCCCCACCTGGAGTGTCGGCGCTGTTTGTGCTCTGTTCCCTGCTTTGGGCGCAGGTCAGGTCCAGCCTGAGGATGGGTGTTCGTCCCTCCTCTGCTCCGTGCACGTGGCCGAGTGTCTGCCGTGGGGACCGGCAGTGCTCCTGTGGCCCGGCTCGCATCCACCGCCTTAGCGCGCAGAGCCCGCCTGCTGCCCTAAAGCCCTGTGCTCCACCAGGTCGCCCCTCCCCACGGAACCCTGGTAACCAGCCACCTCTTCACATCCCCGTAGCGGTGCCTTTTCCAGAGCCGTATAGGCTGCGGACTCTTCGGATGGGCTTCCTTCTCTTAGTGAGGGCGGTGAAGGTTCCTGCACAGCTCTCTGTGGCGTGACAGCCATTTCTTTTTAGCTCCCAGTAATGCTCCCCTGTCTGGATGGGCCAGTCTGTCCATCACGTACTGGAGAACATCTTGGTTCCTTCCAAGTTTCGGCAGTCACGGATGAAGCTGCTGTAAACGTCCACGTGTAGGTGTTTGTGCGAACGTAAATTTCAGTTCATTTGAATAAAAACCAGAAGCGTGATTGTCAGATCATCTGGTGCAAGTGTGTTTCGCTTTGTAAGACAAGGTCAAGCAGACCAGCCGAGCTGCTGTGCCCCTCTGCATTCCCAGCAGCAGTGAGCGAGAGCCCCTGTGGCCCCTCGTCCTCGTCACGTCTCTGCGGTCCGTGCTGTGGGTTCTGGCCGTTCTGACGCGTGTGCAGTGGTGTCCCGTGGCTGTTGTAATCTGCATTTCCCTGAGGACGTACCACGCGGAGCCTGTTTCCGTAGCTTTTTGCCACGTGCGTCTCTTCTTTGGAGAGGTGTCCGCTAGGGGTCTTTGGCCCATTTTTTAAATGGGTTTTCTCGTTGTGTTTTAAGAGTTCTTTGTGTGGTTTGGATGGCAGTCCTTTGTCAGAGGTGTCTTTCACACTTTCTCCTCATCTGTGGCTCGTCTTCTCGTGTCATTGGCTTTCACACGGCGAAGTGTTTAGGTTTGGTGAAGTCCAGCTCTCCGTCCTCCCATGGGCCGTGCCATCGGGGTTGGGCCTGGAAACTCATCTTTGACTGTCCCTCTCTCCGGGCCCTGGTCACCCGGGCTCGCCCTGCGTCCTCTTCCAGGGCTCCCTTGTCTGCATTTCACTTTAGATCTACGGTCCAGTCTGAGCTGATGTTTGTGAAGGGACTAGGTCTATGTCTAGATTCATTTTTCCCCCATTTAAAGAATCTCGTATTTCAGAAAATCTTCAAATGTACACAGGCAGAATGATGCAGTGAGCCCCAGGGTACCCAGAGCACCTTGAGCACTTACAGTCTTGTTTCACCTGTTGACTGCCCCGAAGCACAGACTGTTTGCAGCAAGTTCCGGACAAACACGAGTTCCTGTATCAGATTTCGTTGTGCTCTGAAAGGAACACAGTCAGCGTACCATTATCACACCTAAAAAAAGAACAGTTTTTAATACCGTTAAGCGTCTGTTCCGCACGCACAGTTTTGGTCGTCTCTGGAACGTTTCTGTGGTTCACGTCAAAATCACATAAAGTGAATACGTAGCAGTTGCTGGTACATGTCGTGTAGCTCCTAATCTGTAGGTTGTGCTTCTAGCTTGCCTTTTTTTTCCTCTTGCAGTTTATTTGTTGAGGAAACCTGGTGGTTTTCCCTGTAGAATTTCCCAGAATCTGGATTTGCTGAATTGGTTGCTCAAGGTATAATCTGACATGCTGCTTTGTCCCCTGTGTTGTCTGTAAATTGCTGGATTCAGAGGCTTGATCAAATTTATGTTGGTTGGTGGTTATTTGGGGTTTCTTGTAGCGCCGTTAGGAAGCTGGGATGTCTGGCTGAGTCCTTCACGTTCGCGTGTTTGCGTGTGGGTGTCCACTTGTCCCAGCACCGTTTGTTGAGAGATCGTCTCTGCTCTGTGGGGAGATCTGAGGTGACTGTCCCTGTCTCCGGGCCTCCGTCCTGTCTGCTGGCCTGTTCCCTCACCAGCACCGCGTTGTCTCGATGGTCCCTGTGCCTTTGCAGCGAGACTCGGTGCCAGGCAGTGTCCCTCCTCCAGCTTTGTTCTTGTTCAGTACTGTGTGGGTTCTCGTTCCGGCCTGTGGCTTTTCCATGTTAGCCTTAGGTTCAGCGTGTTGGTAATCGACAGAGTAACTGGCTGAGGTTTGGATTAGGATTACACCAAATGTTTAGGTCAGGTCAGGGAGAACGGACATGTTGGCCGTGTAGACTCTTCAGATCAGTGAACGTGGACTTGCTCTCCATTTATTTAGTGCTTTGATTTTGTCCACCCACGTTTTGGGGCTAGATGGCCTTGTTGTTTGCATGTGGTGGGGAGCAAGTCAGGGAAACGCAGCTTGAGCTGACCTCCAGAGCGAGGCTGTCCTGGCGTGGGTGGCATCCAGAGGTGTGGAGGGCGTGTGTCACGTGCTGTAATGGCCCGTCCGAGTCGTCATTGTGCTGCTCTCAGCAGGGCCCCTTCCTGCTAAGTCTGGCTTCCCTCCTGGTGGCACGTGGCTGTACCAGCTCTGGGGTGCGTATTTTCCCCCCAGGCCATCCTGGAGACACAGCACCTGCACCCCCGATTCCCATCAGAACACACGAGTTGCGTGGGGAATGCGCCATCTCTGTGCCCTTTCCTGCAGTCTCGGGGCGCCCTGCGCTGGTTGTTTCCGTCTGGGTGGTGGTCGTTGGCCAGGACTGGCGGGACCCACTCCCGTGGTTGCTGTGACGGGTGGTATGGGCCAGCAGCCATGTCACCCCGGTGGTGACTGTAATCAGGCCCCTGGCTTTTCTGACCACTCCGCCATTGGAAGGTTCTGCCCGCTTCCTTCTTGAGCTGTCGTTCCCGAGACGAGCTGCTGGTGGAGACGCCGTGGGCAGCGCGTGTGACACGGTGCTTTCTGCTTCTCAGGGTGGTGTGTGTGATCCCTCCAGTGGTGGCTGCACCCCCGTCCTTGTGGGTGGCGAGGCCGCCGTCCCTCTACAGCCACAGGCTGAGGATCCTGCGGCACTGCCTGAGAGAGCACACGGCTCCCTACGCGCAGCAGCTGCGGCGGATGACCGCCCTGCGCTCCCTCCGGTTTCCTGAGCTCAGATTGGTGCAGTTTGACTCAGGTACGGCGGGGTTCCCATCCGCGCTGGCCTTGAGGTGGGCCTGCCTGGCCCTGGGTTTTGAGAAACCCGATGTTGTTCCCTCCGTAGGAAAGCTCGAAGCTTTAGCCATCTTACTTCAGAAGCTGAAGTCTGAGGGGCGTCGAGTGCTGATCTTGTCACAGATGGTTCTCATGCTGGACATTTTAGAAATGTTCTTGAACTTCCATTACCTCACCTACATCAGGATCGATGAAAACGCCAATAGCGAGCAACGGCAGGTAAGGAAGAGGGGGTTTGCCCTGGTCCCGTGGATGGTGCGGTGTTGTTCGCATGCCTCTGCTCTCTCTGCCCTGGCTTCTCAGAGCCGTGTGAGCGCTGGGCTGTGTTCGGCCCTTCCGAACGAGGGGAGCGGCCGCTCCACGTCCTTGGGCATGAACAGGTCTGCAGCTCGTGCGTCCTGTGACGGGGCGACCTGCGGCCATGGGGGGCCGGTCGGGGCGCTGCAGGCGCGGCCAGGGGGGTGAGAGCGTGGGCGCAGCCCCCACGAGGCACGCTGCGAGAGATGCAGGGCACATGGCGTGCCCCCCGTCACTTGTCAGGTTGGCCAAGGTGTGTCGCTTGGGTCAGCACTGCGAGATGGGTGATCTCACGCCCTCCCGGCCGGTGCAAAGCCGCACAGCCTTCTCGGAGCCAGGCGGACGGGGTGGGGCTCCACCGCTCCCCCCTGGAGCCACACACGCCTGCAGCCGCACGGTGGGTCGCTGGGTCGTGCGGGTGCCGTGCTGCTGGGCGGCGCCGTCCTGAGCGGCCGTGGGCTGGACTGCACGGCGCCCATGAGCGCGCTCAGGACGGGATGTGGCGGCACAAGCAGACGGCCCGCCGGAAGCAGGCTGCCGGCCCGTGTGAGCCCACGCGCGCGCACCGAGAGGGCCCGGAAGGAGGTGCAGCGTGGGGTTGGCGGATGGGTTTCCTCGGCAGTGATGCAGCGGATCACACGCGGACTCTCCGGGACAGTCGGGTTTGGTGCTGAGATCACCACAGAGAGCAGCGCTCCCAGGAGGCTGAGAGCCTCTCTCGGGCCTGTTCCCTGCTCCCTCAGCCTTACTCCCGGGCCTTTTGCTGTGAAGGCCCCGGCATTGCCTGAGGGTACAGGACCGAGCACACGTCCCTCCCCAGGAAGACTCTGTGTTCTCCTGGGGCCTACGGGTTGAGCTGACAGTCCACGTCAGGTGGGAGCTGACATTTTCCTCTCGTCAGCGAGGCCTGGCGAGCGCAGAGTGGGGGGCGTCTGTGATCAGTAAGCGAGAGACGGCCAGACGTGTGCTCCTGGCTGGTAGGCGTCAGAATATGCCCCAGCTGTGCCCGCTTTGAGCAGGGGGGCCAACCCGAGAGCTTTGCTTCGTCGTAGGAGCTGATGAGGAGTTTCAACAGAGACCGGAGGATTTTCTGTGCGATTCTGTCGACACACAGCCGTGCCACAGGAGTGAGCCTGGTGGAGGCCGACGCGGTGGTGTTCTACGACAATGACCTGAACCCCGTGATGGACGCCAAGGCCCAGGAGTGGTGCGAGCGGATCGGGAGGCGCAAGGACGTCCACATCTACAGGTGAGGGTGGCGGGCGCAACACGGGGTCCGTGGAGGCCTGGGGACAGGAGGTGCTGCTGGAGCTCAAGTGCACGCTGCAGCTTGTTCCAGAAGTTTCTGCTGCATCATTTGTTTTTTCTGAGGCAGACTGCTTGCTGCTCTCTCTGTTCTTTCTTTAGGCCCAGCATTTGCTCAGTTTATAATTAGTGTGCTTGAAACTGATCGAATTACGTTGCTCAGACCCAGCTTGCTGTGCACTCGACACGTGTCTGTCGTACTTCTTCTGCGGCACCTGACCCTCAGAAGGGCGGCTTGTATTTCAGTGTTTCAGTTGCTATCTGGCGTGAGTTGTCTGTCAGTAAAATAACGACTGAAAGACCTCAGACCCGTGGGCGCTGCCTCTGGACACAGAGGACCGCTGGCCCCGCACATAACTGGGGAAAGCGGAGGAGCCTCTCCCGGCTATTTCTGAGCTTGCTGAAGCATCTGGCATGGTGGTGTGATAACAGCGGGTCTCCGATACGTGCCAGCACCCGACGGCCCTGCCCCCCGTGCATGCTGGCGTGCGTGCGGCGGGCACCGTGGGCGAGGCCCCCGCCTGTGTAGGTGACCACTTGCTCCTTCCATCGAGGCTGAATTTAAGTAGCTGTGTTACTGTGTCTCTGAGGTTCGGGGAGAAGTATTCCTCAGAGACAGAAGTTAGTAACGTTTGCTGTATGTCTTCCACGTGTCCTTCTAATTGTTCAGTGGCTCACGCGACAGTCTCGTTAATCCCCTCTTCTCCCAGCGGCACATCGCGAGTTTGTCTCCGTGCTGGTAAACTTCAGTCTGTGCACCGTGTATGTTGTGTGAGCAACGTTTTCCTGAGTGATGCTTTCAGCAGTTACTGAAATCGTTGACCCTTTAGCGGTTACTCGCCGGAAATGGGAAAACTATTTTACTCTTAGTAACCATAATCCACAACTCAGGAACAGTCTTGGCAGTGAAGGTGCAGGACGTGTAGGAAACGAGAATCAAATTGTGCAAAACGTGGTAAAGATGTGAGTTGGAGACTGAGCTGTGTTCTGGGTCAGGAGGACCTGGTGCGTTAAATGTCCTCCCCCTGAAGCGATGTTAACATGCGGAAGAGTTTTCAGGAAAGCCGTCATGGGGGTTTGTGTACGTGCGTGCGTGTGTACCCGTGAGTGGATAAAGTGGGTTTTATTCTTATTTATTTTCAAAGATTTTATTTATTTGAGAGGGAGACAGAGTGCACACACATACACGCACGAGTGGGAGGAGGAGCAGAGGGAGAAGCAGGGAGCCCGACGTGGGGCTTGATCCCAGGACCCTGCGATCATGACCTGAGCCAAAGGCAAATGCTTAACCAACTGAGCCACCCAGGCGCCCCTCCAAATACCCTTTAAAAACCACTTTATCCAGGGGCGCCTGGGTGGCTCAGTCGGTTAAACATCTGCCTTCAGCTCAGGTCGTGATCCCAGGGTCCTGGGATCGAGCCCCGCATCGGGCTCCCTGCTCCTTGGGAGCCTGCTTCTCCCTCTGCCTCTCTCTGTCTCTAATGAATAAATAAATAAAACCTTTAAAAAAAAAAAAAAGTGTATTTGGAGTGAAGGGTAGCTGATAACGGCCAACAGAAATGCTGACAAGGTTGCAGCGGAGAGGCGTGGGGGAAGGCTCGTCGTCGGGGGCGAGCAGTGAACAGCGCGAGCGTGAGCCAGCAGGGTGCAGGTCGTTTAATGCTTGTTGCTGACACCGTGGACCGTGAGGAAGAGCTGGGGTCGGAGTGCTGTGCCCGCTTTACGGCCCGAACCCCGGCCCAGGGTTGGGCAGGTGTAGAAACAAAGCGGCGGTCTCAGCGTAGTATTGAGGAGATGGTACCTGTGGCTTGAAGGCATTACCTTAGCCAAACAGAAAAGCTTGGAGGGAAGGAAAGGCAGACATACCTGACTGCAGTAAAAGGAGAGCTTAAGTTTTGGTTTTGCAAGAAAATTCCATAAACAAAGCTAATGCACAAATAACAGTTTGGGGCAATTATTAGCAATTCTCACAACAGACAGAGGGTTAGATAGCTCTTAGAAGTTGAGAAGAAAGGTAAATGAGCCCTTCTTTGAGAAAGGGGGGAGGCACCCGAGCGTCCAAACGGGCCAGTCCAGCTGCCCCCACGTTTGGTGGGACGCCCAGGCGCGGAGGCGGAGAGGAGGGAGCCGCGTGTGTGATGGCCTTCGTTACGCGCCCAGACGGGACGGCAGTGGGCGCGGCTGCTGGTGGTGCCGGCCGAGGGAGCGCCTACCCCCGACCGGGGCCGTGGGGTGGTTGCACTGTTTTGACATCAGGTTGGCAGGGTCTGCTGAACCGGAGATGGTGCGTGCCCTTTGTCCCCGGCATTTCCCTCCAGGGAGCCTGGCCCGTGGCGTCACTAGCTTGTTCACACGGCACAGCGGGAGCCAGAGAACGCCCATGCTTGGGGTGCGGCCGTACCTGGGCAGCGAGCAGCCGCTGGAACCGTGCCGCCAGGCCCCCCGCACCCCGACTGCCCGTGGTGGCGTGCTTCCAGGTGCCCGTTCGTTACCGTGCGCATGTCTGTGTTTTGTAGGCTTGTGAGCGGGAACTCCATCGAGGAGAAGCTGTTGAAAAACGGAACCAAAGACTTGATCCGGGAAGTGGCCGCTCAGGGCAATGACTACTCCATGGCCTTCCTGACGCAGGTACCCGCCGGAGGCCTGCAGTCCTCCTGGTTGCTGCGTGGTGACGGGGGGCGGGGGGGGGCTGGCGCGTGCGGATGAGGAGTTGCTCGGCGGTTTCCCTGGGATGCAGTCTGATGCTCGGGTCAGGTGCTGGCCCGTTTTCAGCTGAACACTAATGTGCGCTTTGTGTGCAGCGGACCATCCAGGAGCTGTTTGAGGTATGTTCTCCCACCGACGACGCCGGCTTCCCAGTGAAGGCAGAGGAATTCGTGGTCCTCTCTCAGGAGCCTTCTGCTACAGAAATCATCGCACCCAAAATTGCAAGACCTTTCATTGAGGTGAGGACAGATCGCCTGCCCTGGAGGTCACAGAGGATTTGCCGCACCTGCTGTGGGCCCTGAGCACCCTGCCCGCTCTGCAGGCCCCCCTTGCCCAGCCCTGGCACACCCTGCCTGCCCGCTTTCTTTCTCTTATGGGCATTTTCGTCTGGAAAAGCAGGTAAGCAGAGTGGAGAGTCTGAGGGCCTCAGGCACCTGCTGCCCAGCTCTGTGGCCATCCCTGTCCTACCGGCTCTTCCCGAGCTACACTGCCTCCCCTGAGCCGTAGCGGGCGGCTGGTGGCGCGGAGCGCCTCGCCTGTCCTGTCTGCCCGGCCCGGCCCGGCCCCACGGCCTGCTGTCTCGGCTCCTGTCTGAGAGGCGCCCTGTGTGCGAGTGCAGGTGCACACCCGCGTCTGAGGACAGTGCAGAGGAGGACGTGAACGATCTGGTTAAATAAAATACTGCCTCTTACACGTTGAGCATGTGAGCTAGAGGTGCTGGATTACGTGGCTCGTGCAGTTCTGCTTTTGGGTAGTGCTGCTGTGTAGACGCACCATAGAGCCGCTGTTGGGGCCACGTGCCCTCCTGCCCTGCCTCGTGGAGTAGCCTGGCTACAGCTCCCCCCAGGACTCCGTCTGCCCCTTGGCCGGCCTCAGGGCGGGGGTTTCCCCCTCCTTCCTGGGTGTCGGTTTCCGGGCTCTTGGCCTTGTAGGGACCCCAGTGTCCTGGGCTTCTTCCTGCGCCCTTGCCCGTGGTAGGAGGCTGCACTAGGTCCCCTGTGGCGCCTCTCCACCCCCGTCCCCGTCCCCGCGCCCTTGGTGAGGAGACTTGCCGCAGCCTTGGCTGATTTAAAAGTTCTCATTTGGTTGAGAAGTAATAAATGCGTGAGGTAAAGCCTTCGAGAATTTATCATGGAAAGCAAGTGTCCCTCACCAGACCCTCCCTCTCTGCTTAGCGATGACCACTTGATGCGGTTCCTCCTGGAGTTTCCCGTGTACGATGACCCCACACACAGACACCTTGTGGCTCCCTCTGCATCCGGAGGGACAGATAGATCAATCCTGTTCTTTTAAAAATAGGTGTTACGTGCGCGAGGTTAAAAAGAAAAAGTCCGTTGTCTCCCAGAAATGATGATCTCTCCACTGAAAGTCTCGCACGTGTCCTGGGAGAGAGAGGATGGCAGGAGGGTGTGTGCTTGCGGAACGTGGTGTTCTGTGTGCGGTTGTCTTGGGGACACGTGCGTACCACCAGCTCAACACACAGGTGCTGTCCACGTGTGTTTGTTGAATGTCCTGCCGTGTGTCGGGCGTGTTCTGGGCAGGAGGGACCTAGTGTTGACTAAAACACGCAGTGTGGCCCCGTCCCCCCGACCGTGAAGCCTACGCTCTAGTAAGAGGAGAGACTGGAGGCCAGTGGACGAGTAGAACACGGGCTGTCCTTGCTGCGGTGGCGAGCAGTGCTGAAGGCCCCCGCACACAGCGCACGATGTCCCGGGAGGGGCGGCAGGGGTCAGCAGGGGATGGGGGGTAAGGGAGGTGGGGCCTGGCCGCGTTCTTAAAAACGGCCCTCTGGCTCTGTGCCGTCTGGATTGTGGGGGCTGGAGCAGAGGGCCGTGGCGGGCGTGGGCAGAGCCGCCACGCACAGAGCAGCGGTACCAGGATGGCGTCCCGACGTCCGGGGCGCCTGGGACGTCTCCAGCAGGGGTGATGCTCTTCAGAGGATTCGTGCATGAAAATGGCTTCTGGTGAAAGTTTCGTTGAAGCACAAGAACCTCCTGAGAAGCACCCGCATCACAGAGAATCAGCTAGAGAGGGCGCTCCAGGGAAAGCCCCCAGAAACCGCCTGCCCCCTCACCACTCCCGTCCCCCAGGGCTGCTCTTCTGCCTCCTGACCACCAGCATGGGGCTGCCCGTGCGGGTCTGGCTTCTGGTTGACCCTCCGCTCCTTGGGTCATCGTGATTTCCTCCTCTGGCCCACCATCTGTGTTTGAGCCGTGTGTCTGTGAATATCTTCTGTGTGTTTCTTGGCAGACGCACCGATGCATCTCTGCTAACTTTTGGGTAGTGCACCTTAGGGTGGGGCCCTGGGGTCATCAGGGAGCGTGTGTGTGACCCACCGGGGCTGCCAGGCCATTTTCCAAGCTGGCCAAGCCTCTCCATCCTCTCTCAGCTGCATAGGACTTGAGACGTGGGGTGTTGTTCCCAGCAGTGTGTTGGCGGACGTCCCCGTGTCTCTGGTTGGATTTGCCTTTGCTGTCGGCCCATGAATTTGTGTCTCTGCACGTTTGTAGCAGAAGTGTGTGCTCACGTCTTTTCCCCTTGTTTGGTTAACCGAGCTGTTGCTTTTCCTCAGCGGTTTGTTGGCGTTCTTTCTGTGTTCTGGACGGATACGTGTAGGATAGCTTCCTGTGTTCTGCAGTCTGCCTTTTGGAATGCTTTCAGGGAGCAGGGGCTCTGGATTCTGAAGCCGCCCAGTGGCCCGTCTTTACCATGGTTGCTGAGAGACGTTCTCCTGGCCCCGGGTCGTCAGGACGTCCCCGCTTCTTTTCCTCCGGGTGCTTCAGCGTTGAACCTTTGTACTTAGACATGCAGTCTGTGTGTAGTGTGAGGTCGGGTTGCATTTTAAAATTGCCGATTTTGCCAGGTCGCCAAGAAAAGAGGTTGTGCAGCTCATAATCGACACCTGGTAACCGGAGACCGTGGGGTTGTGCCCGATGCGTGAGTGTGCGCTCCACACCCACCCGCGCCTGTCAGGCCTGAGCCCCGGGCTGTGGGAAGGCGCCTCCTTCCTTCCACTGGTGTTTCTTGGTCCGCGGTGGTGCCGACTGTCTTGCACGCCTATCATCTGCGGGCTCGGCTTTGGCAGCCGTGGCGTGGGGTCGTTTGTCTCCTGTTAATGCCGCGGACAGCGGCCTGTGTCTCGTGCACCGTGACACTCGTTCTCGTCCGTCAAGAGCCGTGGCTGCGACGCGTGTTGGCTTGAGGTTGAACGAGGTGCCCCGGCCCGCTCTGTCCTCGGGGTCGGGAGCTTCGTGGGATGGCAGCACGTGGCTCTTCCCCCGGGCTTGCTGTCCAACGTGGCCGTGAGCCGCTCACACTCATTCTCTGCACACCCCCCCCCCCCCGGTGCTTCCTTGTCCGGGCCAAGCGGGGCGTGAACGAGAGCGCGTTACCGCTGGGGGCTGCGCGTCGAGTGACGCGGGTCTCGCTGGTGCTACGTAGGGCAGCTCCTTCTCAAAACCCCGTAATTTAAAAATATGTGAAAGTAATATGAACACGTAATCTCTTAGGCCCTCAAGAGCATCGAGTACCTGGAGGAGGACGCGCAGAAACCCGAGGGGGAAGCCGTGCTGGGGTCGTGCGGCTCTGACAGCCCGAGGTGGAGCGAAGAGCCGACGCAGCTGGAGGAGTTAGCGGACTTTATGGAGCAGGTGTGGGAGCTTTCGCTTCTGTGCTTCAGCTTCGTTTTTTTCCATACACCTTGATGTTTTAAACATTTATTCCTTCTGTGAAATTTTGCTTGGTCGCTGAGTAAGAACGATCACTTTCTTGATTCAAGTGTTGGCGGGGGTCGTACGAGGACCTTAACTTTCGTTAACTTGCTGTTAACCCTGTTCAAACAATGATTTTTGAAACAGCTTACACCCATTGAGAAATATGCTCTGAATTACCTGGAATTGTTCCACACGCCTACTGGCCCCGAGAAAGAGGGGAACAGCGAGGTAAGGGCGGGCTCAGCTTTCAGAGTCAAATTTGGCCTGAAGTAAATGTGACTTGCGTGGAATTAAAGGCATAAAAACCAAACCCACCAGTGTAGAAACAGATTGAAAGTGGAGCAGTTCGGCGCTTGATGGAGGGTTATGTGTTGGGGGCGGGCAGGGGTCCAGGGCACGTGAACCCGTAGCTGGGACGGCTCGTGACAGCGCGAGCCAGGGGCGGGCTGGGTCGCGGCGGGTGGGGCCTGCTGCAGCCGAGTCTCAGGGCCCCTCTCCGTGGCCTTGCCGCCAGGATGCCGTACTGACTGCCGTGAGGGAGTGGGAGGCCCGGAACGCCAGGGCCCTGCGGGAGAGGGAGACGCAGGCGCTGCAGGAACGGGAGCAGGAGCAGCTTCTCACCTACACGCGGGAGGACGCCTACAATGCGGTATGCGGGGCCCAGCATCCCGTGCGTTTCCGCGGGACGAAGCTCTTCTCCAGGTCTGACAGCCATCGTGTGATGCTTGACCCTTGGTTGCACATTTCTGGTCACACTTGGGCTTCTCCCCGAATGTGGTTAAATGGTGTGGTAGGTCCTTTGAAGACCTACTAAGCACACAGGTAGATAGCTGGTGCATCTGAGGTCATGCCGCACTGAAACGCTGCCCCTCCCCTGCAGGAGTACGTGTGTGAAGGTGCCGACGGGCAGATGGAAGTCATGCCGGTGAGCGCCCGTCTCCCTGAGTGTCGGGGTGGCTGTCCTCCCCGAGGTGCACAGCTCACGGCTCTCCCTTCTCCACGCAGCTCTGGACACCGCCCACGCCCCCCCAGGATGACAACGACATCTACGTGGACCCGGTCCTGTGTCTCACGTACGAAACCACGCCCATCCCAGAGTCCAAGCTGCCTCCCGTGTACGTGAGGAAGGAGCGCAGGCGGCACCGCACGGACCCCTCAGGTGCGCACACTGCGGCCAGGCTTGCGTGTCCGCTCGCTTTGTGCTCACGGGCGGGGGGGCAGCTTTAGGCTTACGGTCCGCTTGGCGTCAAAGCAGGAGAGTAGGTGTGTGTCCACTGAGGCTCCTTGGTGACAGGCCTCCTCAGGTGTCCTTCTCGTCCTCGTTTCCTCGCTCGCGAAGGCAGAGTCCTCGTTCATTGACAGCCTCGCTGAGAAAGGCTCTCTGTCCAGTTGCAGGCAGAAAGAAGAAGCAGCGTCACGGGGAGCCGGTCGTCCCTCCTCGCTCGCTGTTTGACCGTGCAACACCCGGCATGTTGAAAATGCGACGGGAGGGGAAGGAGCAGAAGAAGAACATCCTGTTGAAGCAGCAGACACAGTTTGCCAAGCCTTTGCCGACTTTTGCCAAACCAACGGCTGAGTCGGGCCCAGACAACCCTGAGTGGCTCATCAGCGAGGACTGGGCGCTGCTGCAGGTGAGCACGGCCCACAGTCCACGTCCTGTCCCCTCCTGTCCACGTCCTGTGGTCGCAGTCCTCGGGAGAGTGTGTGCACTTGCGGATGCAGCTCGTTGACCCGTGGTACCTGAAACCCGGTCCCGTAGGCCGTGAAGCAGCTCCTGGAACTGCCTCTGAACCTCACCATCGTGTCCCCGGCCCACACGCCCAACTGGGACCTCGTCAGCGACGTCGTCAACTCCTGCAGCCGCATCTACCGCTCTTCCAAGCAGTGCCGGAGCCGCTACGAGAACGTGCTCATTCCCAGGGAGGAGGGGAAGGTGAGGGCAGACCCCTTCCACTCGCGCGACCACAGAACTCCAGCCCCCAGGGCCCGGTGGAGGCTGGCGAAGTAGTGGCCCCAGGCCTGAGATGTTGCCCGACGTGCCTGGAAAATTCCGGGTGCCGTCTGGAGGCTCCCGTGCCACCTGAGGGCTCGGTCCCACCTTCATTTCATTTTTCTTCCTTTTGTTTCTTAAGACGGTGTCGGGTGAATGAAAGGGTCTTTGTTTGGCTCCCTTGGCTTATTTGGAGAGAAGTCCTGTGCCGTTGTTCTGGGCTCCCACCAGGCCCGTCGGCTGCCACGGTGCTGGGACCAGCTCTGGACCCTGGTCCCGGTTGACCGTGCGCGTTGCGCAGGCCGAGTGCACAGAGGCTGGGTACTCGGTGTCTTTCCCAGGAAGCCCGCGGTGGCAGCAGCCTGACCCCGCGAGAGCCAGCCCCGCGGACAAGTGCATCTGCTGTGCGGTTTCCACCCGCGAGCCTCTTGCTCCTCCTCGTCTGAGAGGGTCTGTTTCTGTTTGTCCCTCTGCTGTCTTCGCCGCTTCCCTTTCTCGCCACTTGCCCATCTGCCTGTCCTCCGGAGAATGTCCGAGTCCTGTGCACAGAAGGGGCGCGTGCATGGCGGGCTGCCGGCGTCGACAAGGGTCCCCCGGAGCCCCCTGCCTATGACAGATGGCGCAGGGCAGATGCGGCAGAAGCGCACACGCAGGGCCCAAATGCGAAAATCACCGCTTCTGTCGTCATCTGTTTTCGTGTTCCTAAAAACGTTTGTCTTAAAGCACTTATTTGCTTTTTGTTTAAGAACAAAAAAAGCAAGTGTCCCTCACGATACCACTTGTGCCTTCACCAGCGAGGCTCCGTGGAATCTTCCGTGTGGTCTGTTGCGTGTTGGAAGCACGTGTAGCGGGAGCCGTAACACTAATGTCTAAAAACATAAAGCTGAAGCTCCGTCTTCCGTCACAGCTCAGGGAGAAGCTGATCCAGAGAGAAAGGCAGAAGCGTGTTTATTAGCTACAAAGGGGACATAGTGGATGAGTCGGCAAGCAGCCGTGCAGAAGGCCACGTGATGGGGTCAGAGCCAGCCGGGAGGTTGGCGTTTGCAGATACGTGCTGGCTGCCACGTGTGGGGTGGGACAGGGCAGGAGCCCCCTCCCCGCCGACCATGATCTGGGCTCACCGTCGGGCAGTTGTGTGACCTGCCTGCTCTCACTCTTGCTCTGCCTTCTCTACGTCACTTTTCTGGGCCACGGGAGCGCTCACAGACGCGGTCCCCTGTTCGTGACCCACCCGTGCCGGTCTCGGTCTGAGTCTCCTCTGACGTGCTGTCCTTGATAGGAAGCCTTCACTCAGCGCAGACGACGTAGGAAGGCGCGTACGCACGGCCCTCCCGTGCGCGGTTCCGACTGTGGAGCAGTTTCCGTCCCGCGCGCTGTTTGAGTCCCAGTTCCAGGGCAGTCAGGGCCTGGAGATGCAGGGGAGGGTCCCGGGGAGCACTGTGGCCCAGCCGGGACTCGGTGGCTGACCAGCACGCTTTACGCACAGCGCCGCGGGACTGGAGTGCTGTCGCTGAAGTTCTGTGGGGCACTGAGGTGTCCTGGGAGCGAGCGGCTGCAGAAATTACCCAGCTCAGGTGACGCCGTGAAGCCCCGAGAACGAGCTCCCTGCCACCCGGCGCCTCTCCCTTTCCCTGTGCCCTGTGGGCGGAGGCCTGTGGGAGGGCAGCCGCGGCTTGCTCCCGGGCTCTGTCGCTGCCGGAGGCGCGCTGGCTCGGCCTCACTGCCGTGCGACCCTGGGCACTGTGCCTGCGCAGGCGGGGAGTCCTGCTCCGGGCGACCGCGGGGCTCACGCGAGGCGACGTGTGGGGAGGAGCGGTGTCTGCAGGCGGTGGGCGGCCGTGACGCCGCGGCTCGGGAGGAGGCCGCCGGGGTCAGTCTGGGACGTTTGAGGTCAGGCCTGCACACGGGCCGCCGTCTGGCTGACACGCTGCCTTGGGTTTTGTCTCAGAGTAAGAACAACCGGCCCCTGCGCACAGGCCAGATGTACGCCCAGGACGAGAACGCCACGCACACACAGCTGTACACGAGCCACTTCGACCTGATGAAGATGACGGCCGGCAAGAGAAGCCCCCCCATCAAGCCTCTGTATGCTTCCCGCGTCCTTCCCGCCCCTCCCCCGAGACGAGCTGGCGCTGGTCCGTCACGCGGCCTTCTGCGGCAGCGCTTTCTGGTCTGCTAACGGTTGTCTCCTCTCCCGCGCTGCAGGCTCGGCATGAATCCCTTTCAGAAGAACCCCAAGCACGCCTCCGTGTTGGCAGAAAGGTAGCTCTGTATTTCCCACCATTGGAAACGATCTTCTTTTAGTGTGGTCCGCGAGTCGTGCAGTCTGTGCGTCCAGGCCGGGCCAGCGGGGGGCCGGCGAGTGCCATGTGTCGTTGCCGTGACGAGGGTCTGTCCCTGCCTGCAGGCCGCAGGGGACACGGGCGGACGTGACGGGACTGTGGGAGAGGCTTTGTCCTTTCTCGGCCGTGCCCGCCTCTATAATCTGCCGTGTGTTTTATTGGTTCTGCCTTAAAATTAAATCCAGCACAGGGGTGAGCGCACTCGCTTTGAGACTGAGTGAGAGCGAGAAGAGGACCGACGAGAGGATGGGCAGGGAGACGCTGGGTGTGTGAGCAGGTGCCGTGGGCCGACTTGGGAGCTGAGTGTGGGGTGTGCGGGTCTTTGCCGCACACTCCCTGTGCTTTCGGGTGTTTGCTTCATGATGAGGTGGTGGGAACCGCGTGTCTAGATGAAGCCCCGGCGCTCATCTGGCTCAAGCCTTCATGGTTGCCCAAGGGAGGGTCTGCAGTAGACCGAGGGCCCTGCTTTTTCCTCACTTGCTCTCAGCGTGGCCCCCAGCGGGGCGCATCTCTGCTGAGACCCCTGACCGCCTCTCCCGGCCACCCTGAGGTGGCCCGAGGCCTGTGCTGCCCATCCGACTCTGGGGGCCTAGACTTCGCAGGATGCTCCCTGCCTCACGGCCGTGCCCTGCCACTCAGGCCTGGGACGGTCTTCCTGGACGTCTGCGTGGCTCGGGCCCAGGGCCCCTTCACACGTCCCGTTCCCCACCTTGTGGACAGTTGCACCTTGGCCCTGTGTTTCTCTTCACAGCACGGATCGTCTTCGCGTTCTTTGCTCGAGTTGTGTGGTGTCTGGCTGCCCCTGGGTGTAGGGGCTCTGGGTCCTGGAGTATGGAGCGGGCGATGGTGTGTGTTTGTGGATGAAATCAGCGGATTGTTTCACCCAGCTGGCATTTATTGGCAGGCTCCGTGCCTGCCGCCCTGCTGAGCCCAGCGGTTGAGCAGAGAGCAGAAGGCCGTGTTCTTGTTTTCATACCTGCGAGACGCAAACTCAGAATAATCTTACAGAGGTCGAGGATCCATCCTGCAGGTGGATGGAACAGTCTGGCGGAACCCAGGGCGAGCGGGGCCTGGGGGGAGGAGACGGGGTGTTCCTGCTGGATGTCACCCCAACGTGAGGGGATGTTGGGTTGGCCATCATGGGTTTGCAGTGTGTGGGGCCAAGGAAGAGGGGTTACAAAGCAGGTCCACAGGACAAGCATAAGGGGGCCTGGGGTTATACCTCCAAGGTGGGGGAGCAGGCAAGCAGGGAGGCAGGTACACTGGGGGCACCGTACTGAGGAGGCTGAGGGCCTCAGTGGGAACAGGTTCAGTGTGAAGGCCAGCTGGGGTGAGGTGGACAGAGGCTGTGAGGTGAGCGCAGGCCTGCGGCGTCCTGGGGGCTCAGGTTGGTTTCTGTGTTTGGCTCAGATTGGAGGGATGGATCCCACATGGGCTAGTGGACATGACTAGAAGGTGGGGAGACGAGGGGAGAAGAGAACTGGGCATGTGGGTCCACAGCTGGGTTGGGGGCTCAGCCTTCTGCAGTCTGGGTGTCCTCTGAGGGTCTCGAGGTGGCAGCCAAGGGTGAGGGTGTGAGGGTCCATGAGGAGTCGGGGGCCAGGCCGTGCACCAAGGAGGAAGAAGTGACACCGGGTGGCCCGGGTGGGGGGCCTTGCTGTGCATGGGGTGGGCTTTTCTCTCATCAGTGGAGACACTTGGGCCCCTTGTGGAGCTGGCAGACCAGGGGACCCTGGGTGTAGCTTTGCCGAGTGCGATGGAGTGAAGGGAGCATTGGTGCAGGAAGGCCTGGATATTCATGTGGGAGCGGGGGCGCGGTGGGGCATCTGGGCAGACGGACGTGGTTGATGTCAGAGAATGGTGAGAAGCCAACCAAGCGAGCTGGGATGAGCAGTGGGGGGCGGCGGGGTGGCTGACGTGCAGCAGCAGTAGACAGGTATGGTGCCCAGGGGAGGCCCGGAAATGGGGATGGTGTGCACGATGTTTTAAGCAAAGCCAGGCTCTCCGGTAGGAGTCAGAGCGCTGGGTAGGTCACAGTAATCTGGGGGGGGGGGGGGGGGGGGGGGGGGGGGGGTGGTGCGGGAGCAAGGGTTCTGTGAAGGGTGCGGAGGCCTGTGGGGACTTCATGGCACTGGGCTGGGAGGGGGCCCTCCCTCCCCCTGGGCTTTGCTGGTCAGCCTCTGCGCCTGGGGAGTCTGGTGCCGCGGGAGGCGGCCTGGGCCCTGACATCAGTCCTCACGGACACGGGGGCATCTGGCAGGCCGGAGTGGGACCTGGGGACACGGGGCTACGGACCGCTGCTGGGAAGAGGACTGCTGCTCCGCTGGGGAGGGAGGGGAGGCCTGGCTTGGAGCAGGTGGTCAGTTTGGTGGGCTGGGTGGGAGGGGGCGGGTGGTTTGCTGTGAGGTGCACCCACACACATTTTGGGGCACCTGATATCCCAGGCACTGTCCTGGGTGCTGCTGTGGTGGACCAGGCCCAGGCCTGCTTTCTGGAAGGTTCTGTGTCGAAAGGAAATGGGAGACATGGTCTCAGACGACCTGGACAGCTTTTGTCTTCGTGGAGAGGCTTGATGGGAACTGCTTCCTAGCACCTGGTAGCTGGGGGGCGAGAGCTTTGGGTTTCTGGAGCATTCCGTCCCTCAGCGCATCCGTTGATTTTTGTCTCTGCTGTTGTCTTTCAGCGGGATCAACTATGACAAGCCGCTGCCTCCCATTCAGGTCGCGTCTCTCCGAGCAGAGCGAATCGCCAAAGAGAAAAAGGTGTGGGCGCCGGGCCTGGACGTGGCCGGGGTGGCAGGCTCGGCGGGCTCCTCCCCACGGCGCCTCTCCTCTCTGCTCCTGCAGGCGCTGGCCGATCAGCAGAAGGCACAGCAGCC